ACACGAGAGGGCTCAGTACCCCCTGTTAAGCTGCGTATACACTGCAGCACTGCAGCTGCATCTCTTCTCTTTCTCTTATCTCCCCCTTTAAATTAATTTAAATTAATATATTTATGATTTTAAATAAATACAATTCATATTTGATGCGTTACTAAAATATAACAAAAATATTCAAACATGACAGAAAACAGTAGGGGGGCGAGTGCATGAATGAAGAGAAAAGAATAAATAATGCAAAAGAAGAAATTTAAATATATATTTTCAAACAAATTTCTATACATTTGTTTTTTTGATTCTTTTTTATTTATTTTTCGCTGAAACTGACGAAAGCTCACGCGGCATACAACTCAGGTAGGGCCACCCCAACGAAATTTCTGTGTTGCAGATCACGTTTATTTGTGGTTGAATTTGTACAATAAGAGAAAAAATTAAATATATAAAAGAAAATAAAAATAAAATATAAATATTCCCGGTTAAATTATTTATTTTAAACTCCAAACACCGCAGCAATGCAACCATTGATCTATACGGCAGTCGTCGTGTTCATGTTTCATGGAGCTGCCTATACACCCCACGGTGTACATGCACATCCAGCATCGAGAAACTTTGTTTTCTGTTCAGTATATGATAAAATTCCACCGGTATTAAACTTTTTTAATTGAATATTTTTGAATATTTTGTTTTATTTTTATTAAATTTGTTGCATGCAAGCCGCATGATCGTGGCTTTCTTGGGGCTGCGGCTGGAAACCTGAACACCGGCGGATGAAATATGTTGTGTTTGTCGTTTGTTTTTTATCATTTCTTGTTTTCTTTTTGAATTTCGGGGATTATTTAGTTTTATTTTCTTCAATCTCTAGAAGATCGGCTTCTATTTAGCATCCTACTTCTCCCCCGCCCGCTCTGCTGTCTGTTGCTCACGACTCCTTTCTCTCACCACCGCCGGCCTCTTCTGCATGAATTTCGTTTTCTTTGTCATCAAAAAACTGCTGAACACTCAACTCATCTTTCTACAGATACGCTGAGGTGTACAGACACCTGCTTATGCCGCACTGGCCCCTCATATAACCCCTTTGCTGCCTATACACCTCAACGCTGCAGCCATTGCTGTTGCTGCTACACTACGAGATTTCGTCTCTCTGTAGCAGCAGCTCTGCTTTTCCTGTATTGATCGTTAGCCCCTGATAGCAGCAGCAGCAGCAAGAGCAGCAGCGACAGCAGCAGCAGCAGCAGCAGCAGCGGGTGCTGCTGCTGCCCCCACCAAAATGACTTCAGACCCTGGCAGTGCTTCTCGTGCTGCAGAATCTGCTGCAGATGGAAGCCATAGAGATGCAGGAGGAACAGAAAGAAGCAGCAGAAGGGGAGAAGCAGCAGCAGCAGCAGCAGCAGCAGGAGCAGCAGCAGCAGGAGGTCGTCGCCGCAGCCGCAGCGGCAGCGTTGGTGGCCGGCACAACAAAAACAGCAGCAGCAGCAGCAGCAGCAGCAGCAGCAGCAGCAGCAAGGATTATCGAGGCAGCATAAATGTAAAAACAGAGAAGATGGGAGATAGAGAAAGAGAAGCAGCAGATGAGGCAGGGAGACACAGAGAAGAAAATAGAGACAGAGATAGAGATAGAGAGAGAGACAGAGGGAGAGAGGGAGATAGAGAAAGAGATAGAAATAGAGATAGAGAGAGAGATAGAGAGAGAGAAGGGGGGAGAGATAGAGAAAGAAACAGAGAGAGAGAAGGAGAAAGAGGGAGAGATAGAGAAAGAGAAGGGGGGAGAGATAGAGACAGAGAAAGAGAAGATGAGAGATATAGAGAGAGATACAGAGATAAAGAAATAAATAGAGAAAGAGATAGAGACAGAGACAGAGATAGAGAAAGAGATAGAGAAAGAGAAAGAGAGAGAGATAGAGAAGCAGATAAAGATAGAGAGGGAGAAGGAGAAAGAAATAGAGAGAGAGGGAGAGGAGACAGAGACAGAGAAGGAGAGAGAGATAGATATAGAGACAGAGAAGGAGATAGAGATAGATATAGAGATAGAGAGGGAGAGAGAGATAGATATAGAGATAGAGAGAGAGAAGCAGAGAGAGAAAGATATAGAGAGAGAGAGAGAGAAGGAGAGAGAGAAAGATACAAAGACAGAGAGGGAGAGAGAGAAAGATATAGAGAGGGAGACAGAGACAGACAGAGAGCCACCGAGAGAGAGAGGGAGGCCCCTAGAGAGAGAGAAACAAACAGAGACAGAGAAAAAGAAAAAGAAAAAGAAAAAGAGA